TTTGTATGTTTAGGCTTTTTTTTCAACGAATCTCTCTGAAGAAAAGTTGGATGAAAAAGCTTCCTTTGAAAGAAAAAGAATGCGCTTCATCATTTTCAAAACAATATGCAGTCCCTTCCAAAAATATTCATTTGATTTCGTTGTTCACTGAAAACATTTGACTTTAAAATCAAAAGATGAATACGAAACAAGGGCTCAGAATTTCAGATTTTATTTCCTGTTATTTACATTTAGATATGTTAAACAACTTAGGACGTACCACCTTTTGTTTGAACTCTCCCATTCTTCAAGGGAGCAAAACTATTGGAACATGTGACTTATAAGTGTTTCTTGTTGCCCAGGTGTTGCCGTTTAGTTTAATTATTTAAAAATTACGTAGCCCTGAATAATTACTCTCGGTTTTACCCTTGGGTTTCACCTGTAAAGACTGCACTAATGTTAAAAAGGATAAAACAACATAATAACGAGGGAGGTGTCTATGTGAGAAAAGCAAGCCATTTTGAAGAAAAGAAGAAAAATCGATTTTAGCCATTGGGCAAACACTGGATATAGCCAACGCAACAATTTGGAATGTCATGAAAAAGAAATTACTACCTTATTGAGCAACTAACATAGAACAGGTCGTCCAAGGAAAACAACAACCATTGATGGCAGAAACATTGTAAAAGCTGTGAGGAAAACCCCCAAAACATTGTTCTTCGAGAGTAGAAATATAGACACAATATCTCGAGATGAAAACCATTCATCTGCAGTAAGATTCGGAGGGTCAGATTGTAGTTTGAACGGAAGTATATTGATGAGCAACAAAAGTTCTGGAAGAAAGTTTAATGGTCTGATCTGACCAAGCTTAATCTCTACCAAAGTGATGGAAAGACCAAAGAATGAGGAGAAAGAAAGGATTTGCTTATGATCCAAAGCATATAGGCTCAGTCACAGTGAGACAGTGTCTTGTCTTGGATAAATAAATTCAAAAGTCAGAAGTATTTTGTCTGCACATTTACAGAAAAATGCATCCAAACTAATCCGGAGGAATTTTATCATGCAGCAGGATAATGACCCAAAACGTACTGCCAACACAGCAAAGGACTTCCTCAAGGGAAAGTGTACAGTTTTAGACTGACCAAGTCAATCACCGGACCTTAATCCAATAGAGCATGCATTTCATTTCCTTAAGAGTAGACTGAAAGAAGAAACCCCTGGAACAAACAAGAACTGAAAGAGGATGCGATAAAAGTCTGGGAAAGTATAACAGATGAAGAATGCAACAGTTTGGTGGTGCCAATGGGTAGCAGACGTAATGCAGTTATTGCAACCAAGGGTTATGCAACCAAAACATTAAATGTTATTTACTTTAAGACTATATGTTTCTTTACTTTTGCTCACCTAAAACTGATACAAAAAGGTGGTATGTCCTAAGCAGTTTAACACATCTAAAGGTAAATACCATTAAATAAAAGCTGTCATTTTGAACTCTGATCTTATATTCATCAAATTTCTTCAGTGAACAACAATAGCGGAATTGGCAGGTAGGAAAACTTTCTTTGTATTTCATAGGTGGGCCGTGAATACAGATCTTTTTTCTGCTTTATACGCACTGGAAACTTAATTATTTACATGAATTTATTGTTTTCGTCATAAATTTATTTTAGTCGTGGCTCCCAGTGAACTTTTTCAGTTTCGTCATTTATTATTATTATCTTTTTTTTTCCCTTTTTTTTTTTTTTTTTTGCATGTTTGTTTTTTGTTTAAACGAATCATTCTGAAGAATTGTTGAACAAAAAGGTTTCTTTTTAAAAAATACGGGCCGTCATTTTTAAACAATATATAAAATCTGTGATATAAAATGTGTGCATATATATATATATATATATATATATATATATATATATATATATATATATATATATATATATATAATGATAATGGACACTCCGTCGGTTTCGAGACGTATGAGGATCTGAAAACTTAATTGATTCAGTTATGAAATTTTGTGCGATAATCTTAAGTGACACTTAAGACCGGCTAGTGATTTACAAAGAAGGCCGCATATGGAGCAAGAGTGAGGATTGTAGGATTAAATCACTTTTAGATTGGCTGACCCTTTAGATCTTGCTCCATATGAAGACGATTCAAACAAGCTGAGTGAAAACTGGTAAGCCTACTAAAACACGTTGATCTACATTCTACCTGCTCCATGTCTAAGCGCTCGAGGGTGAATGAAGGATATTGACAGCTGACAATACATATATATATATATATATATATATATATATATATATATATATATATATATAAATTAATTGATTTAAAATATTTTTTCGCTACACAATTCTAACCACGTTTCAAAAATGGAGGCTGTAGGCTCCGAATTTAACTTTGTAATTAAATTAAAGACATCAGTTCCATGTCATCCTCAAGCGAATTTTGGAGTAACTTTTCGAAAAAAACATATTTTAAATCAATTAATTTATAATATTAATGCTCTGTAAATTTACATTGAGCACTATTTTGTAAAAATAAAAATATCTATAAGAAAACCGGATTATATATCTTACTGTTCTTTCTTTATATATATATATATATATATATATATATATATATACATGCGCAGTACTTAATGTAAAGTGCACAATATCAGTGATAGAGCTAACATATTCAGTTGTATGGATATTAGTTTGTGACCTTGGGTTTCACGCTTTTGCGATCATCAGACAAAAGTGGTTTATTTTTTAAATTATTTCTTTTTTTCAAAAGCGTGAAACCCAGGGCCACAAACTAATATCCATGCAACTGAATATATATATATATATATATATATATATATATATATATATATATATATTATTATTATTATTATTATTATTATTATTATTATTATTATTACTACTACTACATTGAATCGTAATCACGATTCAAATCAACATTTGAATTTGTAGGTCTGATGATGTGTTTGAGCGTTTTATATTATATATATATATATATATATATATATATATATATATATATATATAGAGAGAGAGAGAGAGAGAGAGAGAGAGAGAGAGATAGATAGATAGATAGATAGATAGATAGATAATGATGTTGTGTATTTCGGCAGTAGTTTTTCTTTTAATTTAGATTTCGTTTAAAACAAATAATTACTTCAAATTGAGTCCTTTCAGAAAAAGGATCAGATATTATATAGCGAACAAGAGAGTTATTTTAATCATTTCACCCCAAGTAAGGTAACAAAGCCACTAAAACGCAAGAGGTTACTGAATATGAAAAAATAAGAAAAAGAAAAACAAAGGAACAATAAAAAAAAAAAAGGAAATTATGAAGATCGTAGATGACGGTTGACATTGCGTTTAAATTTTTGAAGATCAAAGTTGGCTGGAAAGCATGGAGCAGGAAAAGAACTCGTATGGTATTACCAATCTGCGGTAAGTAGTTCTGGGTGGTATATTTAGGAGTAAATTCTGCCGCGCCCTGTAGGATATCATTGTTCTTTGGTGCTGTAATCTTGTGGTGGTGCTAAGTCCCTTTCTGACAGATGCCATCAAAAGTGTCTGTGAATCCATCTACCTGGCCCCTTTAATCCTGACCGTCTGTTGCGCATCAGTCATATCAAAACTCCATTTAACTCTCGCTTTTGTTATCGTTCGGCCCGTTCACTTCGTTACACAAGCCTCGCTGATGTCACGTGTTACGTGTCTTCTAAAATAACAAACAACTGCTTCGCGGCACACTCAATAAGCTAATTTAGAAAGTAGCTTTTTTTGCCTTTTCTTTTTTTTTTCAGTATTCTCTTTTATTTTGTGAGGTAATCCATCGAACTTTATAGTGTTTATCTCGCACAACAGATAGATAGATAGATAGATAGATAGATAGATAGATAGATAGATAGATAGATAGATAATGAGTAGACCGAGAAAGAAAGAAAGAAAGAAAGAAAGAAAGAAAGAAAGAAAGAAAGAAAGAAAGGGGGAGAAATAGGATTGAACAGAGATAGATAGATAGATAGATAGATAGATAGATAGATAGATAGATAGATAGATAATGAGTAGACAAAGAAAAAGAAAAGAAAAAAGAAAGAAAGAAAGAAAGAAAGAAAGAAAGAAAGAAAGAAAGAAAGAAAGAGGGGGAGAAATAGGTTTGAACAGAGATAGATAGATAGATAGATAGATAGATAGATAGATAGATAGATAGATAGATAGATAATGAGTAGACAAAGAAAGAAAGAAAGAAAGAAAGAAAGAGGGGGAGAAATAGGATTGAACAGAGATAGATAGATAGATAGATAGATAGATAGATAGATAGATAGATAGATATGAGCAAACTGGGAAAAATAGGAAGATAGAGAGAGAAGAGAGGATGAGGGAAGGGAGCGAGAGAAAGACAGAAATAATATTGAGCAGGTATAGATAGATAGTGAGATGTATATAATTTCTAAAGAAGTATTGGATTTATTATATTATATTATTTTATTATTAATTTCTATATTTTATCCAATAGATTTTTATTACTTTAAACGTTATTTTCAGTGGATACCCATATTTGAATGCCCGCTCCTTTTGTTTTAAGCATTATATTTATTTTCGTCAACGAGCCTGAATATTCGAGAAATATTATTAAGTAAAAATATGCGCCCTCCGGCAGGATTCGAACCTGCGTTGCCGCTTGCACGAGAAACCGTATTTAGACTCGATGTGCTTTTAACCGACTCGATCATGAAGGGCATCGCCGATCAAACGAAGCCGAATGCAGCAATCAAACATAATCCTCTCTCGTCACAGATTCGTATTCAAATATAGTAATGAACTTTTTATTTAATAATCCGACAAGATTTTATCACTTTGCATGTTAATTTTAGTAGATAGATAGATAGATAGATAGATAGATAGATAGATAGAAACAGGCTGAGATAAATAGATAGAAAGATAGAAAGAGGCTGAGATAGATAGATAGATAGATAGATAGATAGATAGATAGATAGATAGATAGATAGATAGATAGATCATTAGGTTAAATAGAAACCATTAAAGAATTAGGAGAAAATAAAAAAGAAGAAAATGGTCAGTGATAGAAAGTGAGTACTATGCTGTAGTGAAGGAGTTTCAGATATATATATATATATATATATATATATATATAGAGAGAGAGAGAGAGAGAGAGAACGTAGAAAAAGATAGATAGATAGATCGTGTGGCCTGACGATTGCATCGAGCATGAAACAGACTGTCGCCTCTAAGTGTTGACTTCTATGTTCACTTTTATATTTACACACGCTCTATCTCTGATATTGATCACTTTTATCCCATAAATATAGCACATCTTAAGACTATATTTCTTTATATATATATATATATATATATATATATATATATATATATATATATATATATATATATATATATATGTCAAAGATATCGAAATAAAATAAAAATAATAAAATCGATATATGCTCACTTATCTTGTCTCTATAAGTTTCGAAGAAAGTACAACCTCTTATCAGAAGACATGATTATAAAATTTCAAAATCAATTCTCCTGACGAGTTAATGTAATCTTCATGAGTCTCATTACATCAACAGCAATGAAAATATTCACAGAAATAACAGACGAAGACCACGGCACGACAGTGAAAAGTTGAGATACGAGGTCACGGCGGTGTCACGGCGGGGTCACGGCGAGGGTCACGGCGAGGTGAGATACTAGGTCAGGACCGATAACATTACAAACCATTCTTTGGATTTTGACGAGAATCTCGAGATATATAGACAGAGCACTATATATAAATTTAAAAGTTAAAAGCTATACATGTTATTTTTATTACACGTGTATTGAACATATTTAATACTATTGTTTCCTGGTCCGATTCAACTCTGGCCATTAACCATATATATATATATAAGTTGTATGGATATGAGTTTGTGACCCTTGTTTTCACGTTTTTGCGACCATCAGACAAACTGTCTGATGAGCGCATGTTTGTCTGATGATCGCAAAAGCATGAAACCCGGGGGTCACAAACTGATAGCTGTACAATTTATTATGTTAGGCCTATCACTGATACTGAGATCTTTCCTCTAACTACCGCGCATATAAAATAAAATATTATAAATATATATATATATATGTAAGCAAATATATGGATATAGATCCGACAGTATGAAGAAAAATATACAGAAAAAACAAACAAAAATCTTAATATGCAATTATGCTGTATTAATGTTAATATAAAGTCAATGTCGGACGTTTCGGTCTATTTTAGACCATCATCAGGACATTTTCATTAAACATAATTAACATTAGAACATATAAAATTCAACATGAAAAGACGATGGACATAAGAGCACAACTAATCCAAACAGATAACTGGAATTTTTATATAAGATCAGCGTTCCGTTTAAATATGATCACGTCGTCGTCACGTGGGCGATGTTGTGAAAACCTATTCGAAGATGATTTCCAAATATTAAAATATTAAAAAAGTCGATTGAAGTTTATATAAACAGTTCAAGAAATCTTAATATGCAATTATGCTGTATTAATGTTAATATAACGTCGAAGAAATCATCGAAGGCAAGAAGTAAGGCATGTAGCAACATCAGCACGGCAAAGGGCACTCCTTTAAAGGCAAAGAAGGGCAAAAAATATTTTAAATCAAGTGATAGCGATTGCTGTATGAGTCGTAGGATTTTTTTAATCAAGCACGGGCAACGCCGAGGCCATGCTATAGTATATATATATATATATATATATATATATATATATATATATATATATATATATATATATTATTATGGACACTGTTATCTTAAGAAAAAAACATTTTCGGTTGAATTTTTATAAGAATTGTTTTTAAGTAAAAGACTATATTTACTAAACATTAATGGAAAAGATTACTACAAATCAGCGACCCCTAGTATTTCAAAAAGAATTTTGAAAGTGTTTTTGTGTGTATAAATGTGTCGATGTTGTAAATACGGACGCTTATACACGACATTATCGGAAAAAAAAAGTGTAACTATATGATATAATGGAATATGGGTACACCTGTGTTCCCCCTCACTGGAATCTGATTGGCTGGTATCCGTCATAAATACCGACGGACGTGTAGGAGAGTCAAGAGCCTTAGTCTGAGAGCTAAGTCTATAACGACGCCCATTGGACTACGCCATTGATCTACACTTCTTACCTGCGACTACGACGCGTACCAGTCGATTACTACTACCCTATTCTACTTGGTTAAAGTAGCCAAAACCACTTAGCTACTTCGTTCAAATATATCCCGTTCCGGGATATATCACTATAGTAAATTTAAAGCCAAGTACTTAAACTTCAATAAAAAATAAATTACTGAGTAGTTAAAAATTATAGAAAAAGAGGCGCTCGAGTTATATTCAAGTAAGTTTTATAGATATGTCACAGTGTAGAAAAAAATTCCAAACATAAGTCGATCGAGATAGTAATCAACTCGTCATGAAAAGACCCATCTCAGTATTAAAAAAAACTTTTCTGTGAGTTTATTTCACATCTGATTAATTAAACTTTAAATCGGCTAACCTTTTACAAATAAAGTTTCAGAAAAAGTACATTTAATTTTGAAAGATTCTTTTAATAAAAAGGATTGTTTAGTGCTGAGAGATTCGTAAATATAGCTGGAAATGGTTAAAATCGGCCATTTTTAGCAATTTGTAAATATTGCAAAAACTACCTAAAATCAACATTTTAACCATTTGTAAATATGGCTAGAAATGGCTAAAATCTTCCATTTTTAGCAATTTGTAAATATTGCTAAAAGTACCTAAAATCAACATTTTTTGCCATTTGTAAATATGGCTAGAAATGGCTAAAATCTTCCATTTTTAGCAATTTGTAAATATTGCTAAAAGTACCTAAAATCAACATTTTTTGCCATTTGTAAATATGACTAGAAATGGCTAAAATCTCCCATTTTTAGCAATTTGTAAATACTGCTAAAAGTACCTAAAATCAACATTTTTTTCCATTTGTAAATATGACTAGAAATGGCTAAAATCTCCCATTTTTAGTAATTTATAAATATTGCTAAAAGTATCTAAAATCAACATTTTTACCATTTGTAAACATGGCTAGAAATGGCTAAAATCTTCCATTTTTAGCAATTTGTAAATATTGCTAAAGTACCTAAAATCAACATTTTTAGCAATCTGTAAATATGGCTAGAAATGGCTAAAATCTGCCATTTTTAGCAATTAAAATAAAGCATTATTTTAAATCAATTTAAACTAGTTTTCAAATACAAAACATTTTTTGCTCATTGGAAATATTACATTTAATCTATTTACTTGAAATTAAAACTCAAATAAAAGCTCCAAGAAAGATTTTTCATTTCCAAAAACCTGAGATATCGCTTTTTTGAGCGAACACACAGACACACGCATAAAAGCACTTAGTTCGTCATCATTTACAAAGCTTTGTTTGGCACAAGGCTGCACTAACCTAGGATCGGGGTCTAAGTAGTAATGTTCAACCAAACCACGTTAATTATTAGCAAAAAACCGTGACGCCCACACGCATTGTTCATAGCTGAACTAATTGCCTTAATAATATTGTTTTATTGACTCGAGTGCTATATTTCGGTAATGTAGATAGGCAAGTGAAGTATTTTTTAGCCTATCTACGTAAGCATGTGTGTCCGCGTAGGTAAATCCTCCCCTTCCAGAGTTTATCTCTTTGCTAGCTTATCTAATTAACTATTGACCAAACTGATTCAATTAATCGACTCGCTTACTTGCTTTCAACTTAAGAACAAAAAGTTCTTTGTATTTTTTTTTTCTGTTTCTTTTTTCTTTCTTTTTTTACCGCAGCCACTTACTGACCTCGGAGCCTGTAAAATGAAAGGAGACGCCTGGCAAAGTAGCATCGAGTCAGCAACACGACCAGCACACGCTCTCGTCCGGCCTGCGACACGCGCCTTTTTTTAACGATGCATCACAGAACGAATTCCACTCGACATTCGACGGTGTTTTTTGCCACTCAACCAAAAATGTAAGTCTCTCAGGTTAGTTAAATCGACCTTCTCGTAATTGAGCTGCTCATCATACACGTATATTTGCTAATTTAAATGTTATTCCTTCAGGAAAAGTGCTCCTGTTTGGATTATAAGATTCGACTCAAAAACTGTTAAATACAATGCTTGGTTAAATATTGTTGCCATAAGGAATTGGATACAGAAGGCAGGGCCTCTTTTACATTATTTTCTTTTTGTTTTGTTTGTTTTTGTTTTGTTTGTTTTTTGGTTTTTGTTTTGTTTTTTGGGGGTTTTTTTTTTCGGTTTGTTTTTTTTTTTTTTTTTTTGCTAATGATATCTTATACAATGACGTCGGATTGTGGGATTGGCGGTTGGCTTAATCCGAAAGAATGATAATTAAGCTAAACATGAGTGGCCAATAAGCACCAAAACACTCATAAAATATAGATAAAAAGAAAAAATAAGAAAAATGAAGAAAAGAAACGGAAACACGTTGAGAAGAAAGAAAGAAAGAAAGAAAGAAAGAAAGAAAGAAAGAAAGAGAAAAATGAATAAAAGAAATGCGAATACGTTTATCTGAAAGAAGAAAAGAAAGATAAAAAAAAGAAAGAAAGAAAGATAAATGATGAAGTAAAGAAACGGGAATACGTTGAACTGAAAGAAAGAAGGAAAAGAAACAAAGAGATTTGAAGTGATAAAATAACACACGAGTGGAACAAGTGAACAGACCTACAGAACGAAAAAAAGAAAGAAAGCAAGAAAAGGATAAAAAGAAAACAAAAGAAAAATGAATAAAAGAAATGGGAAACCGTTGATCTGAAAGAAAGAAAGAAAGAAAGAAAGAAAGAAAGAAAGAAAGAAAGAAAGAAAGAAAATGAAAAATGAATAAAAGAAACGGGAATACGTTGAAATGAAAGAAAAAATGAAAGAAAGAAACAAAGAGATGTGAAGCGATAAAATAACAAACCAGTGAAACCAGTGGACAGACCAACAGAAAAAAAGA